GTGGCAGGAACACAGAACTCCTGAATTCCCCTCACTCACCTCCCCCACTGTGGTTTGTGTGGTGCTTCAGACAAGTCTGGCTAGCTCTAATCCAGGCTGATTGATTTTTGTCTTCTTTGTGCTTTGTGGATCTTATTGCTTCTCTGATGAGTCGTGGGGGTGTGCTTCTAGTCTCCTTCCTCTCTGAACAAGTCTATTTTGATTTATTCCATGGGAGAAACAACACGCCCTAGCCCTAACTACATTTTTGATCTGCAGTTAGTTGACTCTGGAGGGCCAACTGTACTTGAAAAAGAAAGCCAATGCAGGATGAAAAAAGTGAGCAACCAGAAAGGTGGTTGACTGGAGTCGGAGAAAAGAGGCTGCGTTGCTGTAGATCACGTAGGGGGCACAAACCTACCTTGAGTTGGGAGTCAGCTCCAGGGCAGGGTAGCCCTCACATGTAGGTGTATCTGCAAAGCCCAGAAGGCTCTATGCCATGCATTGAGGACCTTGGAGCGGGGGTTGGGGTGGTGATGGAGGAGTCTCAGCACCCCAGGTTTCATTTTAAATTCTAGTTCTCTTGCTATTTCTATCATTTCTGCAGTCACTACCTCCACTGAAGTCTTAAACCCCTCAGAGTCATCCATGACTGTTGGAATCAGCTTCTTCTAAATGCCTGTTAATGTTGATATTTTGACCTCCTCTTGTGATTCACATTCTTAATGGCATCTAGGATGGTGAATACTTTCCAGAATTTACTTTACCCGTCAAAGGAATTACTATATATGGCAGCTATAGTCTTATATTTAAGACTTGAATGTTGAAATTAGTCCTTGATCCATGGGCTGAAGAATGGATGCTGCTAGCAGGCATGAAAGCAGCATTCATCTCCTTGACCAACTCCATCAGAGCACTTGGGTGACCAGTGCATTGTTAATGAGCACTATTTTGAAAGAGATCTTTTTTTCTGACAGTAGGTCTCAACAGTGGGCTTAAAATAGTAACCCTTGCTATAAGCAGATGTGCTGCCATCCAGGCTTTGTTGTTCCATTGATTGAGTGCATTCATAATAGATTTAGCATAATTCTTAAGGGATTAAGATTTTCAGAATGGTAAATAAGCATTGGCTTCAACTTAAGGTCACCAGCTGCATTGGTCCCTAACAAGAGTCAGGCCATCCTTTGAAGCTAGGTATTGACTTTTTCTCTCCAGCTATGAATATCCTAGATGACATCTTCTTCCAATAGAAAGCTGTTTTGTCTACCAAATCTATTATTTATCAATTACCTTAGCTAGACCTTCTGGATTACTTACAGCTTCGGCATCGGCACTTGCTGCTTTACCTTGCACTTTTATGATATGGAGATGCCTTCTTTCCTTAAATTCCACGAACCAACACCTGCTAGCTTCAGATTTTCTTCTGCAGCTTCCTCACCTCTCTCACCCTTCACAGAATTGAACAGAGTTAGGTGGTGCTTGACAGCCAGCTTACCCTGCATTAGGTTTTGGTTTAAGGGGACTAATGCTGTGGCTGGTTTGACCTTCTATCCAGATCGATAAAAATTTCTAAGCCAGGAGCAGCAGTTCACATCTGTAACCCCAGCACTTTAGGAGGCAGAGGCAGGAGAAATCTTTGAGGCTAGGAGTTTGAGAACAACCTGGGCAACATAGTGAGATCCCCACTTCTACAAAAAAACTTAAAAATTTAGAAGAGTATGGTGGCACACACCTATAGTTCAAGCTACTCAGAAGGCTGAGGTAGAAGGATGGCTTGAGCCCAGGAGTTCGAGGTTATAGTGAGCTATGATAATGCTACTGTGCCCCAGCCTAGAAGACAGAACAAGATCCTATTTCTAAAAAAAAACAAACAAAAAAATCCTCCATATCTGGATTTAGGGCTGTTTTTGCTTTATCATTCACGTAAACACTGGAGTGGCACTTTTACTTCCCTTCAAGAATGTTTCCTCTGCATTCACAACTTGGCTAAACGCTTGTTCCAACAGGCCTAGCTTTCAGCCTGTCTCTGCTTTCAACATGCCTTCTTCACTAAGCTTAATCGCTTTGAGCTTTTGACGTAAAGTGAGAGGCCTGCAAATGCATCCTTTCAAGCAGACATTTAAGGCTATTGTAGGTTTTTTAACTGGTCTAATTTCAATATTTTTGGTTCTCAGGGAATAGGGAAGCCTGAGGGGAGGGATAGAGATGGGGAAACAGCAGGTCGGTGGAGCAGTCAGAACACCCATACAGTCCACCATCTTGTATGCGTGTGGTTCATGATGTCCCGAAACAATTACGATAGCATCATCAAAGATCACTGATCACAGATCACCATAAAAGCTGCCATAATAAAAAGTTTGAAATGTAAGAACTACCAAAGTGTGACACAAAGACACAAAGTGAGCATGCGCTGTTGGAAAAGTGGCGACAAGTGACTTGCTCATTGCAGAGTTGCCACAAACCTTCAATTTGTAAACAATGCAGTATCTGTAAAGCACAATAAAACAAGATATGCCTGTACATTTAAAATGTCCAGTTTTTTTGGTATATCAATTTATACCTCAAAAAAGCTGTTAAAGATTTATCCATCTATACATAATTTGTCTCCGTATATGTGACATATAACAAAATGTTCAATACTCTTTTCTTTTCAGTTGGAGTCTCACCCTGTTGCCCAGGCTAGAGTGCAGTGGCATGCTCATGGCCACCGCAATCTCGACTGCTGGGCTCCGGTGATCCTTCCGCTTCAGCCTTCCAAGTAGCTGGAACTACAGGCACATGCTACCATGCCCGGCTAATTTTTTTTTAATTGTAGAGATGAGGTCTCGCCAAATTGTCCAGGCTGTTCTTGAACCCGTGAGCTCAGGCAATCCCCTCACCTCAGCTTCCCAAAATGCTGGGATTACAGGCTTGAGCCACTGCACCCGGCCATTAAGTACTCTTTATGTAATTTTAATCTCCTGCTCATAGCTACTTGATAACACAGTAGAGTCACTTGTGGTGGCACCGTTTTAATTTTTCCAACGTGGTCTCTGTAGACTGTTATTTCATGAATGATAAGCTGCTGATGATAAAAGCATCTTGCTTCCCCAAACTAGGGGACTTCTAACAGCTAGTTGCCCCCCCCAAAAAAATCACCATTTTACAATAGGAACTGAACACAGAAGGTATGAAGGAAAGCCATTTTATTTTTCCCTAGATAAATTTTAAAATAAAAGACCTTAATGGAAAACATTTAGTACCGTCATGTAACCCTGAATGCCAGCAATACCTTGACTTTTACATACACAGGAAGTCAGGTAAAAGCCTAGTCAGTAGTACACATTTCTTTATGGTCCTTCAACAGTTTTGCATGTACAAAACTTTCTGGTATTCAGTTTTAGCAAATGAGCAACATAATTTAAAACGTTCACGTATCCTATATGACGCCTGAAATCTAGTCCTATGTTTATTAATATAGTTAAAAAAATAAAAGCCTTGAAAATTTCATGGTATGAGTTCATGGTACTAATCAGAAAATCTTTTCAAACAGAAGATTATTTTAAAAGCTCCTACATAACAACTTCCTGGTTTAGTTGGAAAAACTTAAGACTTGAAATCTAGTAAGACTGTTCAGTCAATGTACATATTAATTTTTAATTTTTACTTGCCATGAGAGAGTTAATTCCCACTGTCCACTGAATGGCTGCCTCTCAAAAATTAATAAATATATTACAATATTTACAAGAATTCTGATTTACTCTGACACTGAGAGAATGTTAAGTCATGGGGAGGGAAGCACTGATTTTAACAGTGTGACTTCATGATGCATGGGACAAAAAGAACTGGTGCTGAGACCTGGAGGGGGTTGGGATGGCAGTTCAGGTATGCACACATGCCCTAAAACATATCAGACTCCAACTAAGACCAGCCATTTTTGTTGTTGGGTTAGAAGTAAAAAGCTGAATACAAGAAGGCCAGGACAAAGAAGAACACTGAAGGGAGGAGGTGGTTTCAGAAGGAAGAATCAGGAAACTATGCTTAAAACCAAGCCCTACAAGTTCTTAGTGAATTACCCTGTAGAAATTACTAACTTAGTTGAAGTGTTGGAGGGGGTAGGTACGTATCATGGATAAGGGAGGGTTAAAAGCAAGACTTTGTACCGGGCGTGGTGGCTCACTTTGGGAGGCAGAGGCGAGAGAACTGCCTGAGCCCATGGGTTCCAGACTAGCCTGGGCGACATGGCAAGACCTCATCTCTACAATAAATCAAAAAATTAGCTGGGCATGGTGGCGCATGCCTGTAGTTCCTATATACTTGTAAGGCTGAGCCCAGCATGTTGAGGCTGCAGTGGCCATGCGTGTGCCACTGCACTCCAACCTGGGTGGCAGAGTAAGACTCTGACTTAAATTAAAAAAAAAAAAAAAAAGTTTTGGCAACCAAAAGCAATCCTGATTTGACTTCTAAAATTTTAACTGTGCCTTGTGCCCTTTCTTACATTATTTTCTGCAAATGGTTTCTTAGGGACGTACCATCCACTTGACTTCTTTAATGCACCTGGCAAATCCCACTAATGATGTGGAAGAATTTATGCTGTAATGCTCTGGAAAGAGGTAATTATAATACCCAAATCATCCCATACAGTATCATAAACTTGAAGAAGTGAAATAAAAGGCAGATATTTACTAGATATTATGAGCTTTGTGGATGTGAGTGAAATTCTTCTTATGTTTTAATAAAAACAGTAACTAGCTATGATTTCCAAAAGTACATTCTCCTACGTGCATGTTTGTATACATATATGAATACTGTTTCCTTCCCCTGTACCCTTCGGGACAGTCATTTAGGAAGCTCAAGCCTGAGGCCATCAAAGGGGGTAGATTCGACCTAACTGTCTGGAATATAAAGTTTAGATAGTCTCTTTGAAAGTTTTATGAATGAGAGTCACCTAATACAGTTTGAAAGCTCTTAGATACTTAAATAATCAATAAGGGTTCTCTGGTAGCTCACTTTTACATGCACACACAGACAAACTGTTAACATGCATTATTTTAGTCAAGTGGTAAAGTTTATTTCATAAGTAATTTTAAGCCATTTACTAAGCTGTATATTTCAATCCATTAAAAATGACTACCAGAGCAGTTTTGAGGTATTACTGTTCATTTAGTATAGAAATACTAATGTATTTGGAAGTGGCATGAAATGTGACTGCCAGGCCTTTCACGAAATGGTGCTGCTGTGGTGCTAACTACAGATGTGTCCTATGGCTTTCAGGAAATTACCGTGCATGTGCATTAACCGATTTTCCAAACATCAATGGCATGTGATTGGTTCGTCATTTGTAAGCATGCCCAAATTAAAGTATATCCATGGTATGAGCCAAACAAGCTGAGGCATTTCAGGCATACAATGCTACCCTCCGATCTACCCCCATCAGAAACTCTACTCAACTCAAGTCATTTACAAGGAAAATTAGTGCAAAAGGCATGCAAAAATTTTGCCTGTCAGCAGGTTAATTTTCTTCTAATTTTAAAAGAGCTAGATATTTTTTCTTTTAAAATTCACTTATAAAAATACATTTCAGTTTGAGACCTTAGGTACCAAATTGTGGCTTAATTTGCTCATGATGGCTGCACTAAAAAGTTATGAAAAATGTAGTTGAAAATGCATGAGTTCCAGCTCATTTCCCGTAGCGTGGTCAATAGCTGGTACCCTGTTAAAGTTAACCAACCCTTCTTAAAGTTAACCAAAATACACACAGCTTCCTGACAGGTTTTTAGCTTTCTTTTGTCCTGAAACTCCCACAAAATTTTAATTCTTAGACCTCCATTATAAAACTATTAGTGACCATAATACATTCAAGATAGGAGATGAAAACCTGTCACCCACTCAGGAGACACCGGGACAAACACGGCAGCTCAGAGGAAATAGTCACCCATGTGGGTGTACAGCACTAGAATACAGGCATAAAGTCCCTTATATAATTTCTATCTCAGAGCAATAATAATTTAAAAATCGGCTGGATAGTATAAGCAGATCCTTCCAGGTTTTTGTGCTGTGCGCCCCCAGGTCCTGGTGTATAGGGCTCGGGGTCACTACGTACATGGGACAGAAACACTGTCACATGGAAATGCCAATATGACTTACTGCTTAGGACTATGCTGACATCAACCCCTCTGTTAGACTGATTTCTCACAGGAGAAGCTTTTTGCCTCAGCCAGGCAATTATTTGAGGAACAGTAAAGAACTGAACTAAGGAAAAAGCTTCTGGCGTACAAAGCTACACACACAAAAGCAAGTTTCACACTGCTGTCCTCTCAGTGCAAACGAGCGACGGGCTGACCTGTCACATATCCTCAATCGATCTGAACACAGCCTGCAGTCTGTGGAACAATGCGATGCAGCAAAAATCTGATCTAATGCAAATTCAAGCCTATTAAATAAAACCACGGAAAGGAGAGACAATTCGGTTCAGTGTTCTCATGCACTGATGCCCACTCTGAACACAAAAGCAACTGAAAGGCACGAGGCTCAGATTTCATTGATAGTCCTCTCTGAAGGGCAATATTCCGAGGGGCCTGGTGAGGACATATAGAAAGACTGTGTTTTCCTTTTTAATCGGGCTCTTTTGTTGGCCAACACCAGGCTGCGCCGACTTGAGCTGATGATTTCCGAAATGAACTTTTTGCAGTCCACACACACCTCCATGGCGCTCCAGTCCTCCATTAACTCTTTGGGAAACTGGAGTTCTTCATCTGATTTGTCCACAGACTTAGATTTTGTGGAGAACCTGGGGAAAAACAAAAAATGTTCAGCATTATTGCTATAGGTCTACTGTAATAATATGTGTAAAAAAAGTAGAGATGCTGGTTGCCAAGACATCATGGAATGGACGAGTGATTTAAACACGTCATGTTCTTCCAAAGAAAAATTTCTTTTTATTTTTGTGAATCAAGGCCTCACTCTGTCACTCTGGCTGGAGGACAGTGGCACAATCATGGCTTACTGCAGCCTAGACCTCCTAGGCTGAAGCAATCCTTCCACCTCAGCCTCCCTAGTAGTTGGGACTACAGGAGCACCACCACACTGGACTAATTTTTTAATTTTTTTTTTTTGTAGTTACAAGGTCTTGCTATGTTGCCTAGGTTGATTTCAAACTCCTGGGCGCAAGCAATTCTCTCACCTGAGCCCCACAGTGTTAGATTACAGGATTACGGATGTGAGCCACATAGGGGCCCAAAGAAGAATTTCTTACTGGAAACAAAGCTCAGAAGTATTTTTTAGAAAATAAATCAGGAAACATGCTTTATTAAGAAACAATACTGAAAACTCTTAACCGCCCTTCTAGAATTCATGGGAGACAGAGTATTCACTTCATTATCATACATACATGAACGATGAATCTTAACAACTAAGTAGAGATAAAGTACACAATGCTAATATCTTACTGATGATTCAGAAGGACTTAAGAGTTCTTTCTCCAGGGATCTGATGACCCTGTGTCATGATTAACAATTAATTGTAGATGGCAGGTCAGACTATGTGAAACTGAATAAAGTTATTTTAATCCTATGATACATTCTGAAAAATTATCTCTTGACTGTTTTCCTATCATTTGTGTATTTATCAAATATGCCTCTCCCACCTCAACAGTTCTCTATATTTTCGCGATTGGTTATTTGGACTCCGAAGCGCCAGAGTTAACTAGATCAGCATCTCTGCCATTAGAGAGTATGGGAGGAGGAGGAGAACAACAACAACAAAAACTATACCAACATCATAATAAATCATCTATTTGCGATTTTAATTAAACCAAGCAGGATGTGACAAGTAAGATACAGTATGTTCTAAGTATAGAAGACAACAACAGTGGCTGTGTCTCCGAGGAAAATGTCCAAGCACAGGGGCAGGTGTTTCAGGTACGAGCTTCCTCACCACTCTGTCCACAGAGCCAAGACGTGTAGCTGGCGCATCAAACCCCAGATTCAGCCCTGAGATTCCAGCTGGTCTACCTCCTTCATCTTTCTTAGGACCAGCACTTATGTCACCCTACAGGAAATGCAAATGGACTGATCCTCAGGCAATTATTTTTACCTTAAATCGCAAGGACTTGGCATATAGCTTTATTACTGTCTTTATAATGGTAAAGTAAGCCGAAGCTACTGCAGACCACTGCAAACACAAGATGAATCCGATTTTCTTTTAAATTAGATAAGAAAGATTAGACTATTATGTGCAAGTTTTCAACTCCACGGAAACAATTTTAAAGATGACTTTTTTTTTTGAGTTGGAGTCTCATTCCGTTACTGAGCCTGGAGTGCAGTGACACCCTCTCGGCCACTCCAGTATCGATCTGCTGGGTTCAGTTGATCCTTCCACTTCAGCCTTCCAAGTAGCCAGAACTATAGGCACACGCTACCAAGCCCGGCTAACTATTATTATTTTTTGATTTATTGTAGAGATGAGGTCTTGCCCAGGCTGTTCTTGAACCCGTGGGCTCAGGCAATCCCCTCACCTCAGCCTCCCAAAATGCTGGGATTATAGGCTTGAGCCACTGCGCCCAGCCTAAAAATGACTTTTAAAGGACAAAAAAAAGTAGAATTTTTTTTTTTTTTAGTTGGAATCTCACTCTGTCACCCAGACTGGAGGGCAGTGGCACGCTTGTGGCCACCACAGCCTAGACCTGCTGGGCTCAGGCGATCCTTCTGCTTCAGTCTTCCAAGTAGCTGGAACTATGAGAGATGAGGTCTCGCCAGGTTGCCCAGGAACTTGCGGGCTCAGGCAGTCCTCTCACCTTGGCCTCCCAAAGTGCTGGGATTATAGGTATGAGCCACCGCGCCCGGCCAAAAGTAGTATTTTTAAAGTAGAAAAAAAAAATACCCTATCTATTGACAGTATCCTTCAAGTAGCTAGCCATTATCCCTTGAAAAATTTGTCTTTGGGGAAGCTTTGGAGATTTGTGTGCAAGTCTAAAACTGTATTAATACCAAACTTCTTGAGCCAAAACCCTAACAGTACACCATGGTCCTCAGAAGGAGTAGTATTTATCTTTAGCTCACCTGGCAATGCTCCGAAGTGGCCGATGGTGGCTAGTGGAGGGTTTTTCTGACCTCACACAACTTTCCCCTCTTTGCAAGGCAGAAGGTCCCAATGAAAAGATAGGAAGAGTGGAGTATGGCTTGGAGGGCAGCCGCATCTATTATTCAAGAAAACCGACAATGAGCAGTAATGTTAAAGAGGAAGAGTCATCAAAATGAACATGAGCTATAACTGAACCAAGCATAGCTTACCTTTTTGCAACACTGTGAGCACACCGGCCTGTATACAAAATCAAAAGTGTTAGTGGCACGATGCAATGAATGTGACTGAGAAGTTAGAGATGCCAATGGCTGAACAATTGTGAATGTCTACAGTAAATTACAGAAACTCTCTGGTTCTTCTATCAAAATATAACAAATTGATACAATGTGGATTGCTAACATGACAGTCAATTTGTAAAGCTTAGCTCTTACATTGTTTCCTATAAAAGGTTCAATTTATATCTGTTTGAAATTTTCTTATTTGCCTATCCAGGGACCATATGATAATCATACAATCTCCCTCCAATCCAGAATTAATGTTTTTGGAGGGTGGGTCCTTTGTAGCAAACACTGGAAATTTGTTCCTCCAGATCAAACAGTAAACTAAAGTTTTTGTCTGGAAGTTTTGAGAAGGTTGCATCATGATTTCCAGAAGAAATGTCCTGCATTGTGGCAAACAGGTGACTGGGTTTTCCACCATGCCAATGCACCTGCCCACACAACCAAAAACATCATGACCTGCCATGCCTCATTCTCCCAGTTCACCAGATCTGGCCTCAAGTGGCTTTTGTTTTTTGTTTCCTTGCATGATAAAAGTCCTCAAAGGGAAATGTTTTGCCATGTGGAGCAGGTGAAACAAAAAACGGCAGAAGTACTAAAAGGCATCCAAATCAACAACTTCAAAAACTGTTTTGTGCAGTAGAAAAAGCATCTTGTAGGTGTATCACATCGAACGAAGAGTTTTTTGAAGGTGACATGTAAGAATAAATATGCAATTTTTAATGAATAAATTCCAGGTTTTTTGGGGTCCCCCCATATCTAATTTTTTTTGTTCAAACATGACATAGTATTAGCATTATCTTGGCTATATAAAAGAAATAATATGCAGGTAAACATTTTCCAGGTTCAATACCAAATAAATTATTGATCCACTCTTTTGAAAAAAATCAATATTCCTAACCTGCAAGGGCAGCACAAGGTTACACAATGGGTCATTTCTAATATTCCTGTGTAGAAAAATGATGAAACTAGGAAGGTAATTGGTAGTTCTCTTACAATTGTTAAATCTATCTTTTTATTAATTACAAAATACCTTACCTCTTACAGAACTGACAGGTATAAGACCAGGTGAAGAAGGAAAACCTCCTGGTTCGGCAACAAAAGCAGAGCTAAAAAATACAAATTTAAAAGGAGAAAAGAAGCACTGCCAACAGCTAATTTCCTAATTTTCAGTATGAAAACTTTATATTTATATGCTGGAGAAGGTAAGTAGACAGAAAGAGGAAGAAAATGCAGAAATTCTGTTTATAATGGTTAATTCTGTGATGCTAATAATTTGGCTTTGTATTTAATTACAATTCTGTTTTAAAAGGTAATAAAAGGCCACAGCTCTTAAGTATCTCACCATCACAGAAGCAAACCAGAAGAATCAGGTTCTGAAAAACTCCCCTCTGTTTCTCAGATACATTTTCCTTACAGATCCCTTTTTTTTTTTGAGTTGGAGTCTTACTCTGTTGCCCAGGCTGGAGTACAATGGCACATTCAGGGCCACTGTAGCCTCCACCTGGTGGGCTCAGGTGATTCTTTCACCTCAGTCTTCCAAGTAGCTGGAAGTACAGCACCACCAAGCACCACCAAGCTCGGCTCATTTTTCTTTATTTATTGTAGAGATAGGGTCTCACTAAGTTGCCCAGGCTGGTCTCGAATCTGTGGGCTCAGGCAATCCTCTCACCTTGGCCTCCCAAAGTGCTGGGATTATATAAGGCGTGAGCCACTGTGCCCAGCCTCTTACAGATCCTTAAAAAGTATAATGACTAAAGGCAGACACTGTTTTATGAAGGCATACCCCTATTATGGTTGTCTGAAAACCTTCCAAAGATTTTGGTTCCTAAGGGAGAAACAAAAATGCCTCTCCTTTTTTGTGGGTGAGGCAAAACAAGGACTGTTTACTAGAGCAGAGGTTCCAAACTTTTTGCCATTGGGACTAGTTTTGTGGAAGATGGTTTTTCCACGGGGGGGGGGGAGTCGTGTACTTTTTTCTATTATTATTATTACATTGATATATAATGAAATAATTATACAACTCACCATTTTAAAAAAGGTGTGGATGGAAGTGGTAAATAAAATAATGGGTGGGCCAGATGCAGATTAAAATAAGGTTGGGATTCTGACTTAAAGCCTGCCACCAGATGCAGCTGTACAATTGAAGTATATCAGCTCTCTTGCCACTCACTGATAGGGTTGTGATATGTGTCAGCAAGCAAGTGATTTATGATGGCCTCTGTGCAGCCAAACCTCACTGCTCATGTTCATCTGTATTTGCAGTCACTCCCCAGCGCTAGCATCACTGCCTCAGCTTCACCTCAGATCACCAGGCATTAGATGCTCATAAAGGAGCATGCAACCTAGGTCCCTTGCATGCACAGTTCACAATAGGGTTCGTGCTCCTATGAGAATCGAATGGCACCACTGATCTGACAGAAGGCAGGGCTAAGGCAGAGCTAAGGCAGTAGGTAATGTGAGTGATGGAGAGCGGTTGCAAATACAGATGAAGATGAAGCTTTGCTTACTGGCCTGCTGCTCACCTCCTGTTGTGCAGCCCAGGGGGTGGCAGGGGGGCTAGGGGTCCCTGTACTAGAGTATGAACATCTTGCCTCCCCAATTCCCCTAAAAATCCTATACCATCTGGCTAGTAGACAACTCTCCTAGGAGACCATGCAAGGGACTGCCCATTCTTCTACCCTTCTGATCAATCAACTTTAAACAGCTCTACCTTTCCTTTTTTCAAGGCGGTGTAGACATCTTTATACTGTTGGTATTTTTCCAGCTCTGCTTTCACCAGGACCTGACGAATATGCATCACTTCTTCCACAGTAAGAGCGAGGCATTCCACTGGGTAGCAGAATTCCTCCTGAAATTCAAAATGCCACATGAAGAAATCTCACCCCTGTTCTGGAAGTGCAAAATTTCCCTTCAGATCAGACACCTGGTTAGTAGCTTCAGAGAAGAAAAGAGGTTTCCCAGTGATTACTGGGACAGAGCTGGCTCCCTCTGGGGACCACATCGTTTCTGATTACACTAAGACTACATAGATGGCAGAAAACATTTGGGGACCATGTGATCTACTGAAATTTTCAATAAATGAAAGCTCCTCACATTTGTTCAGATATTTTGCCACAAGTAATTCTATTCATTAAGCAGAGCTATGTGTCTATGTTAAAATCTTGAAAAACATTTCATTGTTTTAAACCAATTATATGTCAGTTTTCTCCTATAATTATGCAACAATCTTACTTATTGTTGTGTTGTACACTGTACACTAATAAATAAATAGCAAATCTATAACACTGGTCCTGTTTTTAAAATTGGTTTGTGGTACCCAGAATAGCCAAAAGAAGATGGTTAGTAATTTATACTGATAAGCATTATTTTGTGATCAGTTACATCAGAACACCTTTAAAAATGCTAATGTTATGAGTGGAGCTGGAACATGAAACTATTCAAGTATTTACATCCAAAAGGCAATCTCTCCAGGCTGCCCCGCAGTTCTCCAGATTTGTTACTTTTCAACAACTGCTAAATGCATAGTCAGCACTGGAAAGATGTGGAAAAATGCAAAAAAACAAAAAAAAAATCACAATAAATATTTATGTTGGTTATCTCATGTTAATGATTTCCCCTAAAAACAGCTGTGGAAGATGTTGATGTAACTGATCTCACTGAATAAGAGCCTCACACCCATCCGCTCCCCATCCGGTCCCATTCTTGATTGGTGGATCTCAGAGAAAGACAGAACGGTCTTGTGCATTAGGACCCAGCCAGGCTTCAAGGGGCCATTGTGGTGCAGTGACACTGAAACTGAATGTTCTCAGTACAAACACATTGTAATTCACTCCCACACACACACACCAGAATTGCTCACAGGCATTCTGGAATCCAACAGGCCAAATGAAAAAGCACATGACTATGAATGCAGTCAGTTTATAGAGTTTTAACATTCGGTTCTGTCTTTCAATCAGAGGAAAAAAAATAAATCTAGGTTGCAAACTTGGAAAACATTAGCATTTACTAAAAAAGTCGTTTGAAGAACTACTGCTTACTAAAAATCAATACCAAATAATTTCTGCTCAAGCTAAGTTAAGGAAGATTAAATTTGCTTAAAAATGCTTTTGGAAAGAATTTTGCAACTGAATTTTTAAGATGAGAGCTTAGTATTTGGAAGGGAATGGAATAGTTTATTTAGAAAGACTATATAATTTTCTCTAAGATGCCTAGAATATTATAAAAAAATCCCCATCACACAATTTTCTCTTTCAGTGGGAAATGCTTTCAAAGGCGATAGGATTAAATTGGCATATAACTCTGTTTTGATCCACTCTCAGAAAAGAGAGTAGTGTCAAGTGGGAACAATGAACTGCCTTTCTGAAGGTCAGGCCATAAAACTGTGCACTAAGTAAGCAGTGTTGGCTGAATATATCTGAGTGTATTTCAGAAGTTTTCCTATCATCATTTTTATTCATCAGTGATGAGTATGACTATGACACATTTTCTGATGGCTAGCTAGATGACAAAATGGCTAAGCTGCAACAAAATAATGCATGAATCTAACAAATAACTAGATAAACAATACTAGATTTGTTATCTTGCAAACAACCAGATAACCAGACTTGTACATGCTAGGAAGATAGTGAATAGTGTCGATTTAATTAACTTTACAATGAGGTTACCTGGGCTGGCAAACATTTCAGGTAGATGGCAATTCTTTTGATGTGCAGGGATATGCTGGGACATATAACAGACCTGACAACCTGCACTCCCTCCCTTTAGTCTTAAGTCACAAAAGGGCTTAGTCAAGCATACTTTCAACTTACTGCTTTGAACCACATGCAAATCCAGTACTTCACAGGACAGAATTTAAAAGATAGGTTTTTGTTTGTTTTCTGTTCTTTTTTCAAACATTCAAGCAGACTACCCTTTAAAAAAAATAATTTCCATCGGTCAAATGCTAATGTTTTAATTCTGGAGCTTTCCCAAGGACAACAAAACTTTAATGCAACATGAAACAAAATGATAAATAGCTAATAGAATCATTTAAATTATTTTTTTCAATTGACAAAAATATTAATTCAGCATTCCCAAAGCCAAATTAAACTTTAACAGATCTTGCTGAGCTCTTAACGCTCTGAAACGGAGAGCACACCCAGGGTCCAGCTGCGAGTGAGAGCCTTGTCAGGACACTATGCTTGAGGCTCCCAGGCAAGCAAGAACTCACTCATTTCAATGGCTGAGTGGGGACCAGTGGGGAAGAACCACACCAGCACAGCTCTAATTCCCTTGCCCGTCCGAGTTTCAATGTGACTCCCAGATTTAGGAAAGGGAAGCTGAGCTTAGAGTTTTAATGAAGATTACCATGTGCTATGGAAGCAGATATGCCTTTAAAACCTACTTCTATGCATGGCACTAAAACTGCTGAGTTTTTGTTGAATATTCTGGTTATATTTTACCATTCAAAAGGGGTCACTTAGGCAGCACAGAGATTAGAGTGTAATGTTATTAGAGCATAATGGTTATCAGTCAGAGATAAATGGGAATAGTCATCTTTGATACAAAGTTCTTGATTAGTAAAAACTTCATAAATAAGTATAAGATATTTGAAAATTATCCAAAACAAACACTGATTTTTGTGTTTTTAATAAACCAAAGGGAGGCAAATTTAAATAAAAATAGCAACTATGAAGTTTAATTACTCTTTTCTTTTTGCAAGTCAACTTTAAAACTCAAAGTAAATCCTTTCTTAGCCTAAAGCAGTATGTGGATTTAGTGAACGGGTATCTCTGGGGAAGAATGATGATAACATGCCAAGCAGGACTTCAGTAGAGGCAGCAGGAGTGACAACAGGATTAAAGAGCCACTCTAGCAACTGAACACACGCTGCCTAAAGGTAGATCTAAAATGAGGACGAGGACAGAGGTTTCCCCTGTGTTTCATGAAAAAGAACAAGAAAGGAATGTGTTGTCTCTCATTTATATTCAGAGTCTAGTTTCTATACCAAGATGGATAAGAAAGAGTAACAAAGAAACCAGCTGGGCCAGGGGGTCATTTGTCAAGGACATGTTCAGTAAATAAAGGGCCTAGGAGAACCAGGCCCTCCTAAGCCAGTTTGTAGAGGGGGAGGGGGAGGGGGCTTCTATGTGGTCCCAGGGCTTGCTATGTCACTTAAAAAATGTGAAGGTTCAAATAATAGTAAAATATGAAATTCTATGTAAAAAAACTAAAAAAAGTCATAAATGCAGAATTATTAAAAACAAGCAAATTAGTAAAAAGAAAACTTAAAAAATTTCCCCCTACAAAGAAGTAAATCCCTTATGTCACAACACAGCTTCAAGATGGGTGCTGGGAACAGACAGGTTTGCTGAGCCCAGGATGGCCCATCCTCTGAGTATACAGGTATCTGTGGGCCTGGGGGAGTTCACTGTGGTTACCTGGCCTGGCAGGAGGCTTGCTCTGCCTGCTGAATGAAGGAGCAAAGGCTCTTCTGATGGTACGGGAGGCCCCAGGAGGAAAGCACCTCATGGGCTCTGATCTCAGAATACCTCCTGCACATGGAGGAAGGAGGTGGCATTGCCCTTGCTGTACAATTAGGTCACTTGAAGAGACAAAACACTCACTGGTCCCTCTAACCTGATGCTGCATTTTGAGTTTGTTGTCCTTTCAAAATTATTTCCCTCTCAACTGAGATCATGGTGTGATTTATGCATCCTACATAAGATTGAAATCAACAATCAGAAGCAACGTGCCCATCTAAGCTGTTAATTCTTACAGAGTGCAGTAGTTGAGGTATCACTGTCAAAGAGATATAGAAAGTAAAATAATTCCCAGAACCAGCAGAAAGAGGCCAACCTTTGAGGATTTCCACCTGCTGGTAAAAGCTCTCTCACAAAGATAATACATAGCCCCTGCTACCCCAAACATGGCTGCTTCAAAAGGATGAGAGCTGAGCAGAGAAGCTGTTTGTATGGTAGAAAAAAGTGGTCGGAAAGGCGTCCTTGGCCATACACTGGTTATCCTAGGAACCTGAACAACAGATAAGGGAAAAAGAAAATGGCAGGGAGAAAAGAAAAGGAGAAAATAATGCTGAATGTGAGTGACCTACAAAATTATGATCATGAAAGAAAAACAAAACAAAAAACACTGAGGATGATAACGGTCCACGCCAACATCTGCATCCACATGTATCAATCAGTAATCAAACCACCAAGTTATTCCTAGAGAATCTCAGAGTTCACACAGCAAGGCTTCTTGTAATGTCGTGGTCCTGTGCACACCAAGTCTCCTACATGAGGACTCATTGGGACACAGGACACAGGCAATTGCTTACTGTGCCTGAGAAGGCATGGAAGTGTATACCAGTAGCCACTTGCTCCTGTGCCTGGGAAGGTACTTCAAGACAAGTTGCCTTTAGTGTAGATGGGCAAGCAACCTCAGTTATTTGACTGAATGATGAAAAAAATTACATTTTAAACACTGTAAAGAAAGGGAGGGAGATAACATCAAGAATAAAAATCATCACATCAACAAAAACATTCCTGCCATTTTCAGTTGAGGAGTTAAGATACAAAATGATTCTTTGTTTTATAAAATGTAACTCACATTTTAAATTAACAACCACACTTTTAAAAAAGAACAATACTTACCGAGCTAGAGGGCATTACTACGAAGTGTGACTCTATGGATTTCCCAAGGTAAGCTGTTAGCAAAAGTAACCATTTTATTTTGTCTCAGCAAATGCCGGAGACATCGTGAGTGGGCCCTATTCCTGAACTCTCAGCCCTACAGTCAATCTGAATACCATATATTACTGACCACTGCCTGGGAGACCTTTCTCAGTGACTGCGAATTCATTTGTCCTGCTCTTCCTCCTTCTCCCCCCAAAAAACAGCTCACAGCCTTACCAAGCACACACTGAGAATTCAATTTCACCAGGAAACAGACAAGTTTCCCACACCGGGCCCTTGGTGTAGGCTGAAGGTTTTTTTTTTTTTTAAAGCATAACTGCTATTATTAACTGAAACTATTTTATAATCTGTAATTTTAGAGTAAAATTAAACTTTAAAATTTAATTTAAAATTTATTTTAAAATTTAATTTTACTCCAACCTCAATAATGATGCTATATAATCACACAAAGGCCAGGTACTGATAGACTGGTTTCTAGGAAAAGCGGGGTGAAAAAAAAAATCTATCCTGACTAGTGGACTTATGAAAAATACCACACAAAGGCTCCCTCTTATGTATTTTATTAACTTTTTTTTTTTTTTTAAGAGACAGGGTCTCATTCTGTTGCCTGGGCTGCAGTGCAGTGGCGTGATCATAGCTCACTGCAGCCTCAAACTCCTGGACTCCAGTGATTCCTCCCCACCGCAGTTCCCTGAGTAGCCTGGACTACAAGGTGTGTGCCACCAAGCCTGGCTACTTAAAAAAAAAAAAAAAATCGATTTTTGTAGAGATGAGATCTCACTTTGTTGCCCAGACTGGTCTCAAACTTTCTTCTGGCTCCAAGTGATCCTCCTGCCTTGGTCTCCCAAAATGCTGGGATTACAGGTGTGAGTCATCTTGCTTGGCTCCTTACATATTTTAAAGTTGTGACAATAACTGTGTACTTTGGTAAAGCAACAACTTATTCACATTAACAAAAGTCTTTGTTACATTTCATCGAACAGTACTGTTTTGGTGATTATTTAGGCGCTGCAGGAATCCTATCAGGAATGGCCTTAAAATCATTCACTCTTTAATTGTGTTATTCTGGAATACAGATGGCTGATCAAATGTCTATACCCTAAGCTCTGTTTCAATTCCCTGTCTTCATGATAACCACACTATTGCCCTTGGCTTTGAAATACCTGTTTTTGCTTAATTTAAAGCCCCAGTGATTCACCATAGCCTTAACAAAATGAATGTAAGTATATTCTAGTGTTTTTGATTGATGAGTATTTGAAAAAACATTAGATAGCTAATTGTGTATAGAGTATCGACTGAAGTCTAATATAATATCTCTCTCTCTCTCTTTTTTTTTTTTGAGTTGGAGTCTCACTCCGTCGCCCAGGCTGGAGTGCAGTGGCACGCTCACCGCCAGGCCAGCATCAACCTGCAGGGCTCTGGCAATGCTTCCACCTCAATCTTTTAGGTAGCCGGAATCTTAGATGCACTCTACCATGGCTGAATAATTTTTTTCTGACTTATTGTAGAGATAATGTTTTGCCAAGTTGTCCAGGTTGGTCTCGAACCCATGGGCTCAGGCAATCCACTTGCCTCGGCCTCCCAAAGTGCTGGGATTACAGGCTAAGTCACTGAGCCCAGTCTTTAAAAAATTAAAAAAAAAAATCTTTCTTTTTTTACATTTTTTCTTTCTTTTTTTTTTTTGAGTTGGAGTCTCACTCTGTGGCCCAGGCTAGAGGGCAGTGGCATGCTCCCGGCCACTGCAGCCTTGACCTGCTGGGCTCTGGCTATCCTTCCGCCTCAGCCTTCCAAGTAGCTGGAACTACAGGCACGTGCTACCATGCCAGGCTAATTTTTTGATTTATTATAGAGATGAGGTCTCGCCAAGTTGCCTGGTCAGGTCTCGAACCCGCAGGCTCAGGCAATCCACTCACCTCAGTCTCCCAAAGCACGGGATTACAGGCTGAGCCACCAAGCCTAGCCTTTAAAAAATTTAAAAAAAAATCTTTCTTTCTTTTTTTTTTTTGAGAAAGCAAGATTTATTGAGAAGACAGAAAAGCTCCCACAGTGGGAGGGGACCTGAGGGGTTTGCCCTATTTTTCCTTTTTTTTTTGAGTTGAAGGTCTCATTCTGTCACCCAGGCTGGAGTGCAGTGGCACACTCATGGCCACTGCAGCCTCGACCTGCTGGGCTCAGGTGATTCTTCTGCCTCAGTGCACTGCCATGCCTGGCTTATTTTTTGAATTATCGTACAGACGAGGTCTCACCAAGTTGTCTAGGCTGGTCTTGAATCTGAGCTCAAGCAATCCTCTCACCTTGGCCTCCCAAAGTGCCGGGACTACACGCTTGAACCACTGTGCCTGGCCCACACTTTCAACTATTGATAAATCTTCAACAAAAAAGTACGAAAAATGAACAAAGACTAGTCGAGTTTCATTTAGGCTATAGTTAGAATTTGTTTTCTTCAGCTATCAAATAAATAGCTATTAAATAAATTATTCAAAGTTTATTCTAACTTTTGGAAGTTTCTTTCTTCTGTTTGTTTGTTTTTGAGTTGGCGTCTCACTCCGTCGCCCAGACTGGAGTGCAGTGGCTGCTCCCGGCCACCGCAGCCTCGACCTGCTGGGCTCCGGCGATCCTTCCGCCTCAGCCTTCCGAGTAGCTGGAACTACAGGCACGCGCTACCACACCCGGCTAATTTTTTGATTTATTGTAGAGATGAGGTCTCACCAAGTTGCCCACGCGGGTCTCGAACTCACGGGATCAGGCAATCCACTCACCTCAGCCTCCCAAGGCACAGGATTACAGGCTGAGCCACCGAGCCCGGCTGGAAGTTTCTTTCTTCTTATCATCTTCGCAAGAAAGCTAATGATTCTAGGACTTCCAACTGATCTTTAAGTTACTAAGCAGTCTTTCCTGTACTTACAAGAGAGCGAGAACTTTGCCTGGACGGTGGCAGGAACTGCCTCACGTTAGTAGGCGTTTCCTTTTCAATGGAATGTCTTCTCTGGGGTGGCTGACGTCTCTCTGGCTGGGGTGTCGATGATATGGGCAAGAATTTCGGAGGCTCTAAAGATTTAACCAAATGAAAGAAACTCTCTTACAAATTAAAACGCTTACACTTTAATCTTCTAACAGAAACACTGCACAAACACTGCACTCAAAGATGAACTATTTATGTCCTTGGAGAGATATTTAAGATAGTAATGGTAATCCTTAAGAGGAGACTCCGAGGATTCTTGTAAAAAGCTTAGCAAGGAAGAGGGAAAAAATGTTCTGTCTGGCCAGAAAGTCTCCCAAACCATACCAAAATTCTCAAGTGCACCTTCTTTTTACATTCTCCTTTAAAGATGAAATATGGAAAACTCTTCTTTCCATATGTTCATCAAGATATTGTGTCCTTAGTTTAAAACTGAGCTGTACTTAAACTGCAAAAAGTAAATTTCACTTTGATGTTAATATTGTGCCATTGTTCGTCTCTGCCTAGTAATATGTTGGGACGGTATTTAAAGGGAGAATCGTTTTAGTGTCTGAATGTTCTAGATTCACATTTTTAAAACATTAGAACATTAGAAATAAAGTACGCTGCCAGAGTTTTATTTAGTACTTCCTCCTACTCAAAATAAAACTGCTTCAATGTAGTGGGTGAGGAAACAGAGTCAATGCAAAGTTACAGAGGATCCATCTATTTTGACTGTTCCACCAAGATAAATCACTAAAGGAAAACAACTTAATTTCCACAGTCAAGAAGAGATACAGAAATCCACTATATCATTTAATTGGGTCCTTATGATATTTAATGGGGTTGGCCAAATACCAATTACAGATAATAACCAAAGCCAGCTCCTATAGTTTTTGTTTTGTTTGTTTTTTTGAGTCAGTCTCTCTGTTGCCCAGGCTGGAGAGCAGTGGCACGCTCATGGCCACCGCAGCATCACCCTGCTGGGCTCAGGTGATCCTTCCGCCTCAGCCTTCCAAGTAGCTGGTACCACAGGTGTGCGCCACCACACCCGGCTAATTTTTTGATTTATAGTAGAGACGAGGTCTCACCAATTTGCCCAGGCTGGTCTCAAACCTCTGGGCTCAGGTAATCCTCTCTCTGCCTCCCAAAGTACTGGGATTACAAGCGTGAGTGACTATGCCTGGCCCTATTTTTTTTTTAAAAGAGACAAAGGGCTCTATTACTCACAGCTGAACTGGCAGCATGAGTTTTATCTTCATGTTGGTTATCTTTGCTCTGTAAGGTGATATAATCTGTCTAAATAATCAAAATACTATTTAAATAATTTTACCCACTAAAATCTCCATGTGTATGAGAAATCAAATAAATGCTCTAACAATATCTTAACATATAATTAATTTTTAACCATTCATAATGATCTTTTAAATAAAAAAGATGAGATTTTAGGAATCCCTTAACTTTAGATGCCTGTGCTCAGAATCTATTGGCTGCAGAGCTATAAAGGTGTTTTCACTCTCCATACATGTATGTAGATACAGGTTTGTATGTGTGGCGGCGGGGAGTGAGAGTGGAGGGAATAACAACAAATATGATTGTTTAGGGCTTCTGGTTTAACTTTAGACAAGGAGCTACATGCATCCACACAATAGATTTACTTCCTGGATTATTACCCAGAAACACAAATGTGCCTGATCTGTTATAAGCTAAGCTCCTGAGGCCTGGTTATCAGTTTATGATGCCCCTGCAGGAAAATAAATGAGTATTTCTACTCCTGACCAGTGAGATGTCAGAATTACTTCTTTCTACCCAAAGTGATCACAAGGTACTGTGGGATTCCTGCTCTAGGTCAAGTGTGTATCCGACTCTAGTTCTTTTTTTTTTTTTTGAGTGGAGTGCAAGTGGCTGCTCCTGGCCACCGCAGCCTCGACCTACTGGGCTCCAGCGATCCTTCTGCCTCAGCCTTCCAAGTAGCTGGAACTATAGGCATGTGCTACCATGTCCGGCTTATTTTTGATTTATTGTAGAGATGAGGTCTCGCTGCCCACGCGGGTCTCGAACCCGCAGGCTCAGGCAACCCACTCACCTCAGCCTCCCAAAGGCGCGGGATTACAGGCTGAGCCACCGAGCCCGGCTAGTTCTTTTTTTTCTTTGGAGTTGGTGTCTCTTTCTGTTGCCCAGGCTAGAGTGCACTGGCATGATCACGGTGTACCACAGCCTTGATCTCCTGGACACAGATGATCCTTCCACCTTAGCCTCCTGAGCACCTGGGTCTACAGGTGCACATCACTACCTCTAGCTCATTTTTTATTCTTTTGTAGAGACAAGGTATTGCTGTGTTGCCCAGGCTGGTCTTGTACTCCTGGGCTCACGCGACCCTCCTGCCTCAGCCTCGTAAATTGCTGGGATTACAAGTATGAGCCACCGTGCCCAGCTCCTGACTCTAGTTCTTATACTCACTCTTCCTTGTGGATGTGGCCTCCAGAACTGGATCTTCAAGGAAGGAAGGAGACACGCTGCTGCTGCTGGTGGACTTGTGCAGAGTGTCTTCCTGAGAAAGACAGCGGCAGAGAAACAGATTTCTTAAACATTAGGGCCCTCATGCTACTTAGCAACATTTTACCATCAAACAGCTACTGTAACATGAGGCACCAAATTATAACGGCAGATGTTCAGGGGAAGTAGAAGACAAACTAGAGGTTAGACAGGTCTGGGTTGTGTCCTGACTCTGTCCTTTACTAGAGTGATATAACATGGGGCACTTTTCAAAAAATCTTATCTTCATCATTGTGAAAGAGGGTAAGTAATACCACTTTTCCTGTAGGATTACTGCAAATATTAAATGAGGTAATGTATTCAAACTGCTTAACACATTACCTGGAACACAATACACAGTGGTTAATATTATTAGAGAACTATTTAACACATTTATAAAAGTAATAAACTGTGAATCCCACAGAGACAGATGCTGGATCTTCCTTGTTCATTGATGTATACCCAGTACCAAACCCATCATTTAGTAAATAATGAGTAAGTGCTGGATGAAGGGATGAAATAAACATTTCATGAAATGTCATATGAGTCTAGAAAAATGTCCAACTGTGCCAAATAAAATTTAAATTCCTATTTCCAGTGAGAAAAGACCTTAATTTGTTTTACACTAAAGTAAAATTAAGTATAGTATTTATTCATGAAATATTTACTAAATATTATGTGACAGGAAATACATATTAACTAGAAAACAACTTGTAATTTCTACTACAAAACATATAGATATTTTTAAATATAAAAGGAAGAATACTAGGCAAATATATTCATTCATGACTATGTGAAATAGTTAATGACTATAAGAATTAGGCATTCACTAAAAACTGGCCTCACCTAAAACTTACAGCTGAAATCATTAGTTTCAAACAAGCTACAATACAAATGGATCTGGTCAAAGAACAAGAGAAGAAAAAAGGTCATATGAACCACATAGTTCAAAGAAGGTTTGAGTGGTGACCTCTACACTCATGGGATTTATCACAAAGAACAAAGCAAGCAATGTAAGCAGACTTTACCCCAGATATGCTGGAGGTCATACAAATCTTCAACAAGGCCAGCAAGCAATTACAACAATCTCTGCTTATGGAAGGTCAAAAAGAAATAAAAGCCAAGAAAGAATATCTCTTAGGAAGAGAAACAAAGGAGTTATGTACAGTGCTTTCCTGGTAACTATCTGATGAGGTGTGTGCTACCTTCATCAAAACAGAAGAAACCATCCCCTTTCCTCAACCACTTCAGCCCATCTTCTCTACAGAGATTTTTAAGTTTAATTTTACACGTTATCTTTGTTAGTGCTAAGGGAGAAAAAGATCATGTTTCTTTATTCACCTGTGAAATCTAGTTATAAAGTTAAATTCTGTATAATGAAAACACTGTCATACTCATTTCTATAAAACTCTCTCTGAGAAAAAAATGGCTCTATAAATAACTAAATCAGAATGAAGTCCTTTTGTTAAATTTTAAAGATGTGGGGTACAATTCAGGATTAAGTATACAAGTGGTCATCGTGCTGGTAAAGTTTGGGCCTCCCTTTGGGCCCACTTTGCCTGGTTTGAGATCAGGTACCCTTATTGATATTGTGCCCCCCCAATGAAGTCTTTAAGCAAATGAAAAAGATCAATAACTTTATGATCACAAAGGTTAAAATTCCAAAGAAAACGGAAAATACAAGCAAGAAAAATGATACTCATTTGAAGTGGTAAAGTCAGGGCACACTACTGCACTTCCAGAACTGACCCAGATCGACATATGTCAACAGCTAACTGTACATGCCATGTACCCCCTCACATTTACTTTGTATCTTATATCCTTTTTTTTTTTTTTTTTTTTGAGTTGGAGTCTCACTCTGTTGCCTAGAT